TACAGACTAACAAGATGGATTTATATTATAAAAAACTGCTTTTGTCTGCTGTGTGTTTGCTGTTTGTTTTGTTTTTGTTTGTTCTTTTTACTATAGGTCTACTTAGGTTAAACTGAATCTCATATGATTTAGAAGAGTGTTCTTTTGCATATGAAATACATAATATTTTGTTTGTAAAATCTTTGGAAAATCACAATGCTACCTAGCATAAAGCAGTTTCTACTACATGTGAAAGATCTTAATTTTAATTCTGTGTTACCTATTTGCAAGACTCTGGTGAAGTTTTTAGTGATCTAAAACCTTGGGAGTTGCGTTAGGAAGGGTTGAAAGTGGTTACAGAATTTGGAGTTGTGAGGATTGGGACTTTTATAAAGTGATTTTGCCTATTGATGATAGACTGGTTGAACATTTTTGGGTTAAATCTGCTGTTTTCACATTTCGGTCTAAGAACTCGTCAATTTACATTTCCAGTTTTTACAAATAAGATGATAGGCCTTCCTAGATGCTGTCAAGTTTTGCAGACAAATCGCCATGAAACGACTTAAGTTTTGCTTGGTACAGCCATTCTGGAAAATTGTATGGAGGTTTCTCAAGAGGTTAAAAATAGAACTGTCCAGGGGCACCTGGGTGGCTCAGTGGGTTAAAGCCTCTGCCTTCAGCTCGGGTCATGATCTCAGGGTTCTGGGATCGAGCCATGATCTCAGGGTTCTGGGATGGAGGAGGGAATTGGGCTGTCCGCTCAGCGGGGAGTCTGCTTCCCACCCCCTTTCTCTCTCTGCCTGTCTGTCTACTCGTGATCTCTGTCTGTCAAATAAATAAAATCTTAAATTAAAAAAAAAATAGACTGTCCTTCTACCCAGCAATTGCACTAGTAGGTATTTACCCAAAGAATACAAAAATACTAATTCAAACGGATACAAGTGCCCCAAAGTTTATAGCCAAAATACGGAAACAACCCAAATGTCCTTTGACTAGTGAATGGATGAAGAAGATGGGTATATATACAATGGAATATTACTCAGTTATTAAAAAAAAATGAAATCTTACCATTTTTGATGGCATGGAGTTAGAGAGTATCATACTATGCAAAGTAAGTCAGAGAAAGACAAATACTGTATGACATCACTGGAATTTAAGAAACAGAACAAATGAGCAAAGAAAGGTAGGGAGAAAGAGGGAGGCAAACCAAGAAACAGACTCTTAACTATAGGGAATAAACTGATGGTAACTGTATATTAACTAACTGGAATTTAAATAAAAACTTGAAAATAAACTTTTTTATGTGTTTTTAATGATCTTTAGCAATACAAATTCTTGTCTTGATTATGTAAGATTATATGAAAATATAAGAGAAGTTTCAGATGAAAATGACAAAACCAACCAAATGTTTATTAGTCCAATTGTTTTTCTTTTTATCTTGCAGCAACGCTCCTCTTGCTTTTTCTTCCAAAGTATGTTATGTTAAGTTTCGTGACCCATCAAGTGTTGGCGTGGCCCAGCATCTAACTAACACGGTTTTTATTGACAGAGCTCTGATAGTTGTACCCTGTGCAGAAGGTTGGTATCTCACGTGTTTTTTTCTATTTTAATCTCTGTCCTGTGTGTTACTACCTTTGGTTTTCCTAGAAATTGGTAGGTAGATAGTACATTGTTGTATATGTGTGTGTGGGGGGGGTGTGTGTGCAAGAATGAAATTTGGAGAAGGAAAGGATTTTTACCTAGTAATAAAATATATTATAATTGTTAATTTATTATTTATGTATGCTTGAGATTTAATAGCCAAACATTTAAAAAAATCATGAATTCTGATTTGCTTTGGCTTTCTGTAGTCAATTTGCGAGTTGTAAAGAAAGCTTTCTGAAATTAAAATATTAAATTGGTAGGGGAAATTATTTTAAATCTATAAATAAGTGAGCATTTGTCTCTATATATATAATATTAATGATATCACATAAATAAAAACTGCATTTTGCCAAATTGGGGTTAAGTGGTATTATGTATATAAGAAAAATACTCCTAATGTAATCTCTAAAGAGTCCTCTTAAGGTAATTCACCGTCTCATTGAGATTTTATTGCATATTGTGATTCCTATGCAACTGGAATTTATTTTTTTCTTTCAATGGCTTGCTTTTCTTGGGGGGTGGGATGGGTAATTGAAGAAAAATCATGGAAAGTAATTTTCTGAAGCTTCCGATAAGGAAATATTGTTGAAGATGGGAACAAGGCCAAAAGCCTTATAGTCTATTAAATAAATTTAAGGCTTAACCTGCTTTAAGAACTAATTATTACTAATACTTAATTTTTAGTTATTTTTATTTACAGAGCCATTCACATATAATAGACTGTGCTGAATTTGACAGTTCTGGTGTGTAGTTAACTTTTATTTAGAGTACACTGGTATGTGTACATGGATTTTAGAACAGGTTATTATAATTTAAATGTCCTTAAAATATGTTTTCCCTGGTGGATAGTGGTAACTGTTTTACAACATAAAAAATACACCTGAAACAATTTAAGGAGCTTTCGTATATAATGTTTTAAAGCCTCTGTTAGAAACCAGGCTAATATTAAAATAACTTGATATATGGTACACAGTGCTACACTTTTAAAGTTTGATGCTTATTTCAGAATGCCTATTCTGGGATGTCAAAAACATTATAGTAGAACAGTAGATACAGTAGAAACCATTTGTTTGGTTTTGAAGTCCCAGAATAGGACATTCTGGATTTTTTTTTTTTCCCAGATGAATTTGAAAGTGTTTTTCCCATGCCTGGGTGTTAGAATGGAGTAGGTAGAATAAAAATGGATTAAAGTTAATTATTTGCTGAATCTGTCCTTACCTATTGATCTGTAAGGGGACAGTCAGCCCAGAATTGGAGAGCAAGGTGAGAAAAGAGCTGGTAAATGGTTTAGTTCTGTATACCAAGTTCATACCAGTTTTACACCCGGTAAACTACATGGGAAAAAAGAAATCAGAAGGTTTATTAAATGGGAATATTAATCCTGTCACAAAACTATGCCACCAGCAGTACAAGCTCATTACTAAATTGGAAGGAAGAATTTTTATCAGTGTTGCTTTGTTGGAACCTTGCTACATTTCCATAGAATTTTTCATATGTTTGAGAAGCCCAAGCCATGATTTGTCATTAAGTGTTCAAGGTTATGGGCATGTAGAGGTTCTCTTTTTTGTCTGTTTTATTTAATAGAGCTTAGTAAATACACATTTATTATCATAGCTCTTGAATATTTTTAATATTAACATTTTAAGAGGTTCTCTAGTTTTGAACATGAAAGTTTAAGCACATATTTAATTTCAGTTTAGTTGTAAACATTTTAGAACACTGATAAAATAATTGGTATTGGAGAAACATTGAGATACATAATTTTCATTAATTTAACTAAATACCACTGAATAACCTTATAGAATCTGAGGAATTTTATAGTGAGCTGTTGAAGATACGATTATGCACTGCAGGCAAGGTAATAATGTGTTATTATACTGAAAAAGATAGCAAAGTGAGTTTGAAATAAACCAAAGGAAAGAGTTCCAGTGGAGTAAGTTTTGTTAGAGGAGATGGGGTGCTGTAAGCATTCTTCTATTTACTTCACTGATGCATTCTTTCTTTGATGTTATAGAAACAGCATTATGAAAGAAATGAGAAAACCATAGAAAGTTTTAAGTTTTTTCATTTTCTTTCAATTTGCTGTTTTTTTGTAATGCAGTTTTGTAACAAGACCCAAAGCTGTATAAAGTAGTGTTTGATGTGTAAAAGTTTTATACATATTAAGTATTAGCTATTGTTAATAAAACATGCCATTTCAAAATAAAATATGCTCTCATTATACTTGTCCAGATATGACCTCTTTTTGTTGTTGCGTGCATCTCAGATTTCTTTTTTGTAAATGTTAACACTTAGAAAAAGATAAGGTCAAACATAACAAGGGTGTCAAGCCTAATCATCAGTCGTAACTTTATGTCCACATTTTCTGGTAGATGGATTTTGACTATTAATTTGGTTTTGTATGTTTTCTCTATGTGATATTTGTGCATTATTAGATGACTAGACTGGCCAAGGCAGACCTGTTACACTTGCCTGAGTTAGGCATTGTTTGCCATGCCACTAAACCTGCCGTCAAGTGAAACCTTCATTGGGGAAATGAGATCGGAGTCTGAACCGCAGAAGATGGACGCCCTGTCTCTGTTTTTTATTGTTTTACTTTAATTTCATTTCTTTTTCTTTATTTTGTCCCTTTTTTTGTTTTTGTTTTTGTTTTTGTTTTGTTAAATCTCTTTCACTTATAACTTGTGAGCTGGTTTTCCAGTTCTTTGTAAATGGTATTCCATTAAGGGTTCATAACATTGCTTTGCAGATTATATTGGGAGATGATTAGCAGAGCTCAATCTTAGAATGAAATAAGTTTTCATAGTAAACTAGGATACAGTGCTTTGAAGCTCAGTGTGAGTCTTAATTGGTGTTTATAGACTGCATAGTACATTTTGTTCTGGAAACACTAAAACACTAATAGAATCTTAGGAACATTTTCTGACCTCATTGCAACATTTTTTGAATTTTTCTCCCAAATCTTCATCTTTCATAAAAACCAACTGATAGCTTCTAATTTTCATCCTTCCCCCTCCTCTAGAATTTTAGGCATACAAAATCCTCAAGGAGAATAAGTAAATTTCTTAGAACAATCTAGGCATAGAGGACAAGCAGAGACATTTACTTTTTTGAGTTACTAAAGGAAAGAACTTATTTCCTTGACTTAAAAAGACTTTTGCTTGCCTGTGTGGGGAATGGATATTTGAGAAACTTGTTGAAAACTTACTTGGTGTGTGTATTTCTCTGCTTGAATTTTTTGAAAAATTTTCAGGTATTACTAGCTTCTAAATGGATTCTGAGATTAGGGCTAGCACTTTATATGTTTTTTTTTCTCTCAGTTGTCTTTGAGAAGTATAGTTTGGGAAAATGCTTAAATGCTGTTTGTTTTATATTTTTGTTATACTCTGGTAGTATTTGGAGGGTAAATTTGATAGAATTCTATCTTGGGAGTTAAGCAACAGAACTTTTTTCTTAAAGTATCTTTAATGGTCATTAGAATAAGAAAAAGTGTGCTTACAGTTAGACTTAATATTTCTAACAGTTTATTACTACTGTGAGAGGCAGTGAGAGTCAGATGACTTATTGATATTTTTTTTTAAGCCAAAAGTGAAAGTATAATATTAAGTATTCCTCTTTCGGCCTGTGTTGAATACTTTTTATTTTGTGTAGGCTTTCTACACTGTCTTCTGTGGGCAGTTTTGCTTATTTAATTGACAAGTAATCTTAAATTGAGGGCATTAATGAATTGAAACTCTTTGTTTTTTGGATGCATAAATTAGGGTGACAAAGCATAAGGTTTACACTATAGGACCTCAGTCAATTTATCAAGATGTTTTCAGGTTTTATAAGCATTAAAAATAACACCTATTTATAACAGATAAAATGGGTCTGGTAGCAATTTAAATAGCTTAGTATATATAGGTGGGTATACAGATACATGTATTAATACCAATAACTAATAAATATGAAATAAATTACTGTTATTTAATGTCTTCAGTAAGGCCTACCTACCTTTTATTTATGCATGTTAAAAAAAATCTGTGTTTGTGCAGAATTTACACTGAAATTATAAAATAACTGTTTTTGAAATTAGTCAATTAATATAGACTTAGATGTTGCAAAATTTAGGAAAAAGTAGACCTTTGTTAAAGCTAATCATATGTAATTTTTCTGTTCCTGTAAGTAAGGTGTAATTATTATTTAAAGCAAAATTTAAAAGCTGTCTTGAATTCCATCTATGTTTAGAGGTATATTCAGATAATATTGTTTAGAGATTTATCCCTCCACATCTGGTTGTTTTAAGTAGAATTTTTACTTCTAAAATCCAGCATGGTGCTTTTGAAAACTTACTCTAATGCTATTTTCAATTTAGTGTGATTTTGTACACTGTGTTTTAAATTATTTTTGAGGACTCTATAACAGAAATGTTTAGCCAACTACCACATAACTATAAGTAGTTCTTTTAAAATAGATATATGTAGACAATTTTTTAAGAAATAATTTTAACAGGGGCAGTAAGAGGACACAAAGGGAAAATGTGTGAAAGTTGCAGTTCATATCAAAATTAATTGATTAGAGTTTAGTAATTAAATATGGCACATTGATGAACTTTATTTTAGAGTAAAATTTTCAATTTTTAGTCGTAGGGATTTTTTCTTTTTAGTGTCTAAGATTATTTTAGTGTTACTGTCATTATTTTTATTAGGCAATTTAGATGTTTATAAGCAAGACATTTAGGCATTAACCATCCCTCTTCAGATAAGTATACATAAATTGGTTCTAAAAATCAGGACTTTAAGAAGTTTCCTGAGACAAGGGAACTTCTGTTAGTGATTTTCAAAAATTTTTAGTAGTTTTCCAAGGCATGTTCTTTGGAATTGGATTTTTAAGCGTCTCTGACCTAGTTGGTGAGATGTCTTTTTAACTGGATGGGTGTAAGCTTCCTTTTAAATTGAAGCTGATTACATGGAGTAGGCTTTTGTTTTTTTCTATCTACTTGAAATTTAATGGAATTTATTGGAAGGTTATCAAAAGTGTTTACATCACCAGTAGGTAGTTTAGTAAGCAGGATAGGGGCACTCATTAAGGAACAAATTTCAATTCGCACATATTTGTTTTTTCTTTTTCTTTTTTTTGACTAATTTGGTTATTTGCCATTTCTGGGGATTAAACTTTAAAAAATGTTCTTCTTTTCTGTATCTGATGTTCTGTGTGCTATTAGTGATGCAGCCAACACGAACGGTTGTCATGTGTAACACAACTTTCGATCACCGCGAAAACACCGTCCTGGGAAAGCGTCCATGCTTGATATCGTTTGGTTCATGAACATTAAGTTTCCAGTACAGGTGACCCATAGCTCAAAGTGTTAAATAATTGTCTACATTATTCAATTTTTAAAATAATATTCCATTAATGAGATTGTTAGTCTTTGAAGTTTTGCTCACTTTTATTTTTCCTAGTAGAGCAGGATAAAAGGAAAGACTTAAGTTCTTATTTATTTCTTTGTACAGATCTGATAGATAGATTCATTTATTATTATTATTTTTTAAGTGCAAGGGTAATTGTAAAATCATAGTGTAAAGTTTGTGTGGTGTTTCTGCTTTCCATAATGTTTGGAACTTGCCTCTGCAGGTAAAATTCCAGAGGAATCCAAAGCCCTCTCTTTATTGGCTCCTGCTCCAACCATGACAAGTTTAATGCCTGGTGCAGGCTTGCTTCCCATACCGACCCCAAATCCCTTGACTACAGTAAGTATTCCACACCCTCTTCTGAGAGAGATTTATGTTGAATTGTGTAATCATGTGAATAAAGAGCTTAGAAAATTATTTGTTTTGAATCTTTTTTCCTTTTTTTTAATTGAAAAGGATTCAAAATGTCTACTTAACCCCCCCCACCGCCCCGCCACGTTATCACTGACTTAAACTGACTTTTGGAAATACTTCTGAAGTAATAGGGCATTCATTTAAATTTGAGAACTAAAATACATTATTCATTAGAGAATCAGTTATTGGAACCCAGCATTTTAGATTGCATGGGGAGTTGGAAAATCTAGGTAACTATATTTCCCAGTTCAAGAGGACTAAATCTATTGAAGTAAAATAAAATAAAATGAATCACAGCTTTGTAACAGAAGAAAAATACTTCAGAGAAACATTTGTCTGATACTGAGAAAATGTAACAAGGTAAAAATATGTTTTCATTAACCGCAAAGAGTTAAATAGGAATTTAATACCTCCTTTGTGATTTCTAAGAGCGTTAAATAAAGATTTTGCTGTTACTGGGTTCTTGTCATATTTGTTTTAGAGAAGGGTCATTTTTCTTCAGAAATGAATGCAAGACAAAATATAAAGCTCACCTTAATTCTGTGGTGTGTCTTAGCTTTGTGGTGTTGGGACTGTTTAGGGAGTGAACTAATACTAACTTTATGATAGTAGTTAATTTTTTTAAAATACTGTTTTTTGGGAGCATCTGGGTGGCTCAGTTGGTTCGGTGTCTGCCTCCTGCTCACGTCATGATCACAGGATCTTGGGATCGAGCCCTGAGTTGGGCTCCTTGCTCAGCAGGGAGTCTGCTTCTCCCTCTCCCTCAGCCTGCCATTCCCCCTGGTTGTGCTCTCTCCTTCTCTTGTGTGTCAAATGATTGATTAAAAATCTTAAAAAAAAAATAAGCATTTATTTAAAAAAATACTTTTTTTCTTTCTGTTTTTCCTTTTTAAAGATTTTATTTTTAAGTAATCTCTACACCCAGTGTGGGGCTTGAACTCACAACCCTGAGATCAAGAGTTGCATGCTCTACCAACTGAGCCAGCCAGCCCTCCCCACCCCACCTTTTTTTAAAGTAAGTTCTCCCACTATAGGGGTTGACTCACTTGGAGAACAAGGGTCTCATGCTCTACTGATATAGCCAGCCAGGTGGCCCTTTGATGGAAGTTCATTTACTAAAGTTATAAAAGTGGTCTGTGAAACTTTGAAGTGCAAAATTTTGGGTCTTTTCTTCACATAGCATTGTACTACTGGAGACCTGCATTGCGATTGCTGGTGCGAAAATGCTTTTTATTTTTATTTATTTATTTTTTTTGGTCACGGGGATGTTTTTTATTTTTATTTATTTATTTATTTTGGGAGGGGTGGAAAGAGAGGAGGAGCAGAGTGACATGGAAAGAGAATCTTAAGCAAGTTCCACACTCAGGATGGTGGCTGGGTGGGGCTCGATCTCACAACCCCAAGATCATGACTTGAGCCCACATTAAGAGTTGGATACTTAACTGAGTCACACAGGTACCCCCACCCCCTTTTTTTTAAAATTTAAATTAAAAATTTTTTTTAATTTCTTTTCAGCGTAACAGTATTCATTGTTTTTGCACCACACCCAGTGCTCCATGCAATACGTGCCTTCCCTAATACCCACCACCTGGTTCCCCCAAACACCCACCCCCCGGTACCCCCTCCTTTTATTTTAAAGACATATTTATTTATTTTAGAGAGAGAAAGAACATGAGTGGGGGAAGGGGCAGAGGGAGAGAGAATCTCAAGCAGACTCCTGACTGAGCGAGGAGCTCTGACACAGGGCTTGATCTGATGATCCTAATAATAAGATCGTGACCTGAGTGGAATGAGCCACCCAGGCATCCCAGGAAAATACTTTTTTTTTTTTTTTAAAGATTTTATTTATTTACTAATTTGTCAGAGAGAGAGCATAAGCAGGCAGAGTGGGAGGCAGAGGCAGAGAAAGAAGCAGGCTCCCCGCTCAGCAAGGATCCCGATACGGGACTTGATCCCAGGACTCCGGGGTCATGACCTGAGCTGAAGGCAAGCAGCATAACCAACTGAGCCACCCAGGTGTCCCCCAGGAGAATACTTTTTAATTCAACATCTGATTGTTTGAGCTAAGCTTTTTACAAATTTTCTAGAAAATTTTATTTGGGTTATATTCTGGTATATTTTAACATTTAATTCCTGGATCACTATCTTTTTTTCAGAAAGTATTATCTTGCTATCTTGACGATTCTTTTTTTTTTTTTAAGATTTTATTTTTATTCATTTGTTGAATACTTAAAATCCATTCAAAACTAAGAAATAAAACAAAACTAAGAAATAAGCGAGAGAGAGAGAGAGAGAGAGATCACAAGTAGGCAGAGAGGCAGGCAGAGAGAGGGGGAAGCAGGCTCACCTCTGAGCAGAGAGCCCGATGCAGGGCTCGATCCCAGGACCCTGAGATCATGACCTGAGCTGAAGGCAGAGGCTTAAACTGAGCCACCCAGGCGCCCCTATCTTGACGATTCTTATGGTTTATTTAGCAACAGCATAATGTTTTTATTTAATTTGTTGCCTTGAGGGGAAATGGTTTTCTCTAAATTCATCTGTAGATATCTATTATTTTGAAATTTAATTTATGAACAATTTGAATAGAAAATGGGACAGGTGGCCCACTGTGACTTGGCTCCTGCTTAACTCTCTGACATTTTTCCTACCTGTTTTCCTGGCTTACTCTACTTCAGCCATATTGGCTTTGCTGTTTCTTAGACATGCCAAGCATATTTTTGCCTTACGGCTTTTGTACTTACTCATCTTTTGCTTAGAACATTTTGTTTTCAGGAGGCCATGGTTTCCATGTCAGAAGGCAAAAGTGTTACATCAGGAGCCTAGGTAATATTTTAACCCATTGAAGACCAACAGGGTAACTAAATAATGTGGGGTTTTTTTTTTTAGATCAGGGCTAGAAAGTAGAGTAATAAAAACAAAGGTAATTGTATTGTTACAGAGCATCTGCATTCAGTAGAACTTTCTGCTCTGCTGAAAATGTCTTTGTTTGTACTATCAAGTGTCATAGCCACTGTAATGTGTGCCTATTGAGCACTCGAAATGTGTCCCTAAATTTTAATTAAAATTCAGATAGTTGTGTGGGGTTAGTGAGCATCATATTAAATAGCATAGGTATAGCAGAATGGTATAGTAAAAAGAAGAGACAGGAAAAAAATTTCTAAAAAAGAGCTGAATGATCTTAAGTTTGAGAAACAAAGAGGTTGGATTAGATTATTTGGAAAAAACCCATTCTGTGTGTGTGTGTGTGTGTGTGTGTGTGTGTGTCTGTCTGTCTGTCTAATGTCCCAGTGGAGAAAATTTGCAGGTTAAAGGGATTGACAACTAGGAGTACCTGAAAAGGTTTGTTGAATACTTAAAATCCATTCAAAACTAAGAAATAAAACAAAACTAAGAAATAATAGTCATATTTGTGATTTAACTTAATGGTATATAATCATTCTTTTGTACAGTAAAAAAAAATTTAGTGACTCAAACATCTGTACAGGATAAGGTGTGGGAGGAGGATAAAGGAGTGTCAATACATAAGCAGAACGTGGAGAAAAACTAGGCTTAAAGGGTGATAGCCTTGACTCCCATCACCACCCGTTTTGAATTAAGTTACTTTATACAACTTTAGGATAACTTGAAATGGTGGTGCTGAGCAACAAATCCAAGATCTGTTAATAGCAAGATACCACAGATTATAATAAATACTATGAAGAAAAACGTGTTAGAAAGTGAAGCTTTATATAAGGTCAGGGAAAAGCCTCTTGGAGGGGACAGGTGACCTGATGCTTGAAGGATTTGACTGGCAGAAGATGAGGAAGAGTTTTTTGACAAGAAATTCCAAGCAAAAGCTATAACGTGGGAAAAACTTTGTCTTCAAAGTAGAGTGGCAGTCAGTATAGTTGAAGCTTAGGAAATGGGGGTAGTGGTAGTATATATTTTGAGATACTAGAGGGATAGATAGTATACTGATTTTAGGACTTTTGGGCCATGGAAAGGAATTTGAATTTTATTCAAAAGGTAATTAGAAACCATTGGTTAGGGGCGCCTGGGTGGCTCAGTGGGTTAAAGCCTCTGCCTTTGGCTCAGGTCATGATCCTGGGGTCCTGGGATCGAGCCCCGCATCGGGCTCTCTGCTCCGCAGGGAACCTGCTTCTTCCTTTCTCTCTGCCTGCCTCTTCGCCTACTTGTGATCTCTGTCTGTCAAATAAATAAAATCTTAAAAAAAAAAAAAACACCAAAAAAAAAAAAAAACCATTGGTTAGCTTTAAGCAGGGTAAGACATAATTTGACATTTTAAAAAGAAAATACACAGGCTGTTAGGACAGTGTAAGTGATACTTGTTTCATCAACTTAATGCTTTCACCTTTAGGAAGTGTTTTTATGTGGTATTTGTTTTGTAGCATTATGTAGTCAGTGCTCAAAATTTTCTTTATTTGGACTGGGGGATAGAAAGAAAGAGAGGGAGGGATTGGGAGGGGCAGAGAGAATGTTAAGCAGTTGCCATGCCCAGCGCAGAGCCTGACACAGGGCTCCATCTCACAACCCTGAGCTGAAAAGGAGTTGGATGCTTAACTCACTGGGCTACCCAGGCGCCCCAGTGCCCCAACTTTTCTTAAATCTCATAAATGGAAATGAAAGTTGTAATTTTTTCCCCTTGAAATGTCTTCTCATTAATTCTGCAGAGTCTTCTATTTTCAAATTTTGAGATCTTCTATCTTTCCTAGTTTAAGTTCATATTAAAAATATATTCCTTGGGGCGCCTGGGTGGCTCAGTAGGTTAAAGCCTCTGCCTTCGGCTCAGGTCATGATCCCAAGGTCCTGGGATCGAGCCCCGCATCTGGCTCTCTGCTCAGCAGGGAGCCGGCTTCCTCCTCTTTCTCTGTCTACTTGTGATATCTGTCTGTCAAATAAATAAATAAAATCTTAAAAAAAAATATATATATATATATATATTAACCCTTGAACTAAAAACTAAATTTAGTAATGTTATGAAAGATCATTCAAAGCTTTTGTCCTCTTCCCATCAAAGTATATATAAGTTCAGTTTCTTTTCTTAGGTAAACTTTGTCCCTGTTTCAGTTTTAGACTGTGCATGGTAGTACCTTGCTTTTACCACTTGGCAGCTGAGTAGCTTTGTGAAATTTATTTAACCTCCGTAAATCTTTATCTGTGAAATTGGCATAGTATTCGTACAGCAACTTTATAGGACATAAGTGCTGTAATAATGAGCATTGACTGTTTATTTTTAGTTTCAACTTTGAAAGTAATTAAAATACCCAGATAGTTAAGAATTATGTTGTATTTCTAATTACATGCTGAACTACGGTGACCTCCTCCTCAATAATTCAGACCTATACCTGGCTTAAAGTTAGGACTCCGTAGTCACCTTCCATTCTTGTAGAGTTGATTGTTTTCTTTTTAAGGTTAAAGAATAGTAACCTTGAATACTAACAGGAAGTATGTGTTCTTTCTTTTTTTAAATTTATAGTTGGGTGTTTCCCTTAGCAGTTTGGGAGCTATACCAGCAGCAGCACTAGACCCCAACATTGCAACACTTGGAGAGATACCACAGCCACCACTTATGGGAAATGTGGATCCTTCCAAAATTGATGAAATTAGGAGAACAGTCTATGTTGGCAATTTGAATTCCCAGGTAACTAATTTAAGGAAAAACTAAGTGGTAGGTCCTCTTACTCTTTACCCCTTCTTCAAAATGATAGCGATTGACAAATATTTACCTAATTTTAAAAAAAGAATATACTTTATTAAAGCGTGACTTTGTTTCTTCAGACAACAACAGCTGATCAACTACTTGAATTTTTTAAACAAGTTGGAGAAGTAAAGTTTGTGCGGATGGCAGGTGATGAGACTCAGCCAACTCGGTTTGCTTTTGTGGAATTTGCAGACCAAAATTCTGTACCAAGGGCTCTTGCTTTTAATGGAGTTATGTTTGGAGACAGGCCACTGAAGTAAGAAACCCTAAACAAAGAAATTTTAATGATTTTGGAAAAACTTAAAGTATTTCTGATGTAATTAAGGCTTTTTTTTTTCTTTTAATAGTAATTGGCAATTTGTGGAAAGGAAGACTTTGTGTTAAGTATAAATGAAATACATTAAGTTACCATTTTAGCCTTTAAAGTTGTATTTGAAGACATTTTCTATTTTATAAGATCTAATTTGATGTTAACATTATATACCCTATGTAATGGTTATAAGTCTTTTCTCATAAGCTCTAATAAAGCAGATTGGGTTTGGGTTAGGACTAGACTAAGGGATGGTTGAACATATGAAATGAACTTAGAGTAATAAATTTTGGTAAATCCAGAATCCCAGGAGGAAAATAATATTAAGTACCCAGAAGTGTTTTAAATCATACATTTTGAGTTTTAATATTTTCTCATATCCTTGTGTTCAAAATGAAAAATTGGTATAGACTTTATATACTCATCAGAAATTCTATTTCTTGTAGATTATTAAGGTAACAGTTTTATCTAAATTTCATAGGTAATTGCTTTAGTTATATAGCTTGATCGGGATTCAGCTATGAAAGGACGAAATACCTCTTTTTAGTGAATGCCCGTCTTAGTGTGAAGGGGGTAAAGTGAGACTCACCAGATTCATTTATGTGCATCAGAGAAACCCCTTCTGATCTGATAGGGAAGAGTTTTATCAGGTGCCTCTCAGATTTGCAGCTGTATCTGACTCACCCATGGTTGAGGGTTAATTAAAATTGTGCACATATACAGCCTCTCCTGCACTCTCCCAGTGTGTAGAGATATCAATGAAATCTTATACTCCAAGATGAGAAATGATGCATTTTAATACTGATGTCAGGATTTTAATTTATTATAATTCTAAATTGTTTGAATATATTCAAGTTGTTAAGGAGTCAGCTAGGGTTCAGTTTTTCTTCTCTCCTCTTGGCTCTGGTAGCAAGAGATAAAGATGGGTGGTAATGAGGGTTTTGACGTTGGTTTTGATTATTCTGTATTTAGCTGTATCATTCTTAATGTGCTTTCGACATGTCCTCAGATTTATAAATATGTGTATCATAAACATTTGTTTCATGTTTTGTAAAATATGGTGTGTATTTGTGATATGCTAATATTTTTAATTTAGAATTAATCACTCCAACAATGCAATAGTAAAACCCCCTGAGATGACACCTCAGGCTGCAGCTAAGGAGTTAGAAGAAGTAATGAAGCGAGTACGAGAGGCTCAGTCCTTTATCTCAGCAGCCATTGAACCAGGTAAGGTCACAGTGTTGTTACATAGGTCACATAGAACCATAGAACTGGAAGGAATTTTAGAAGTTATCTTGTTTAGTCCCTCCATTTTACAAACAAGAAGACTGAAACTCGAGAAAGAGTAAGTGACTTACTAGTGTCAAAGGTCAAAGAACTGGTTAGCACAAATGTTGTTTTCCCGTGATACTGAATTGAGGCACATTAGCTTGAGTTAAATCAGTTCTTTATGTTTTTGTAGCAAAGTCAGTACTCACAACTGATTGGCTTAAAGCAAAGTATAAATGTTATTATGAGGCTAAAACTAAGAATAAATATAATTAAAACGTTATAATCAAGCAGGCTCACTTTCCTTCAATGGTTTCATTTTAAAAATAGGAAAGAGCCCATGATTAGCAAAACACAAAGACCATTTTAGCAAGGTAAAGGAACACCTATTCAGACTTTTATGTTGCTTACTGAAAGTTAAAAACCAATCTAAAAATGTCTAGGTGGTTTACAATTGAGCAAATTTTCTACATTTGCACTCAGAATTTAAGCTTCACTGCTAGCAAAATAAATGGAGAGAAGATTTAAAATCGTTGTCCTAGGAATTACAGACATGTTATAATCGTACATTATGGCAGCAACAAAATATTACGAACAGCTGTTTATAATCATCTGGTTTATATGTACTGCTGCAGGGTGGCTGCACTCAACGAGTTTATGCAATGACTTTCTTGGATGTTTCTGAAGGATAATTGCACAGGAGGAGGATGTACAGAGAGTAGGCCCCTTGCACTATATGTGGTACATTCCACTTGTGCCTGATTATTAACTGGGATCTTTAATTGTTCTGAGCTTACACTGCAAAGTGGTTTTTTCCTCCCAGAGTCTGGAAAGAGCAATGAAAGAAAAGGCGGTCGATCTCGTTCCCATACTCGTTCAAAATCCAGGTCTAGCTCAAAATCCCATTCTAGACGAAAAAGATCACAGTCAAAACACAGGTGAGAATTTCTGCTATCATATTTAAAATTTTTGGTCTTGTATTTAAGATTGTTAAGATTTTCTGAGTTTTTGTTTACGTATCAGAATTGAGAAACTTCAGCGGAGTTCACCAGGAATTATGTTTATCATTAAATGTTGCTTTAATTATAATAATGTAGTTGAGAATGAAATTTTAGCTAATTGATATATAATTTTTATTATCTCAATTAATTTTCAGTTTCAGAAGTTGGTTTTCTGTCTTAAGGTGCTCTATTCCTTATTCTTCTAAGAATAAACTAGTCTTAATACAGAACTGGCAGAAACTTTTCCTTCTTTTTCTTGAGAAAAAGGAACATACATGTTTGGTGATGCTGAAATGTTGTTGAAGTAGCAGCCCCCTCCCCCCCACCCCCAAGTCTCCTCAAGGCTTAGGGAGTAGCATCTCATATCTTGGATTCCAGTACCTACCTGTCTCTAGTGCCATGAGTCAAATGAGGTGTTTTATTAAATCTTTGATATTCTCGATGATAAGAGCCTCTCCTGCACCCACTTTGGGACCTGAAACACAGCAGCTTTAGCTTCAACTATTGTATTATGCTAAAGTTCTGTTTCTGTTCTGTTTGTCTTACTTTGGAACATAGTTCTGTCATTTTAATTTTCTTTCTTTTTTTAAATCTGTTAAGGGGTTGCCTGGGTGGCTCAGTGTCTGCCTTTGGCTTAGGATGCTGGGATCGAGCCCTGCATCTTGGGCTCCCTGCTCAGTGGGGAGCCTGCTTCACCCTCTCCTTTCCCCTGCTTATGCTCTCTGTGTCAAATAAATAAAATCTTAAAAAAAAATAATAAATAAAAAATCTGTTCTGTTGTACTTAGTCTGAATGTGAACTTGCAACAGCATTTTCATTGGGAAGTGCCCTAAGAATCATGTTTAAAGTGAAAAATTTTATTGTCTTCTCTAAGATATGGAGGGAGGGGTTACTGAAATGTGAGACTGTATATAGTGGATCCTAATTGCATGTTAATGTGTATACACATACTTAAGTCTAAAGAGAAGAGGTAGGAAACAGTCTCTGTGTGCATGGCGTGTGTGGTGGTATTAGAGGAGGAGGAAGGTTTGAGAGGAGGAGAAAAGGGAACCAGTATACTGTATGTTGAACCTCATCAGCAAGCTCACTTTAGTCTATTTTTCTATGATACCAAGGAAATTGAAGCAGTGAGAAAGGCAAAAATGGTATTCTTTGTTTGACTCTAGTAAGCTATACTTCCAGATGTTTATTGGTGTATACTTCTCCATAATTCTTAGTTTGTGTGGTCTCTTTTGGGATATGGTTTTACTGCCCCCCCCCCCCCCAAGGTGTTCCGGTAAGGCAAGTTCAGATCCAAGTGAAGGAAGTTGTTACATGTACAGGGAAGAGGTCAGAGCCACAGAAGCCTGAGTTGGAGAAGGAAAGTGGTATTGAAGGAGTGGTACTAGATTGTGGGTATTTCTGCAGGTTGACAGGATGTGGTGAAGATAAAGGAGATAAAAGAAATTTAAAAATTGAGCTCAAGAGTAATTACTTCTTTTCTGAGAAGGAAAGAGACCAGTGACCTGAATCTCATTTTGTGACATAAGAGCTGTGCTCCAAATCTAATACCTTACTGGTTTTCTAAGGCTGGAAAAAAGGAAAACATGATTAACATCAGTTTCCTTGATAATCTCTGTGAAGATTTATCTATTGGAGCAAATTTACTTAACTCTCTGCTTTAAGATGCCTGCTTTTATCATTTTAAGTATATTTGGATATTTTCCCTTTCCAAGGGTTAGTAGGGGAAGGATTTTTCAGTCTAAAATGAAACTTGTTAGTTACTGTTCTTAAGTCATGAGAGTTCTCCTGAAGGTTCGTCTATGTATCATTGGAAATTACTTGCTTTTGGCATACACACATACACATGTAACACTCTCATATATTTATGTAGTATATAAATTTATATTACACTAAATTTATACTAACACAGTATAAATATACCAAAGTAAATTTATTAAAGTTTAAATTTACTAAAGTAAATTTATACTATACTAGTTTTTACACATGTATAGAAACACATGTAGCCTTTACTGAGTTCATAAAGAAATACAAAAGAATAAAGGTTCTTTTTAAGGGGGAAAAAAATCCCTTGAAATCCCTGAAAATATTTGACTTAAGGATCTTGGTATGTAAGGAGCTTCCCCTCAGCTCTGGCTCTGCCCCACTAGACTTACTATCAGGAGTGTGAGTTTTGGGAGCCTTTGCTCTTGAAGGCTTACCCTCTTCTACTTTCTCAGCATTCTCAGATGCTTCTGGAGCCTCCCTCCAGCCCCTATCCTTTCCCTGTTCCTTCCCCTTGTATGGTAGGAGGCAGGAAGGGGTTTCTTGTCACTATGACCTTGGCTAGGACCAGGGAGATGTATTTTTGACTTTGCTCAAATTTTTATATGTGTTTTTTTCAAAGGGCAGTGTTAGAAAAGGTGGGTAGTATTGTAATTATTATATTTTAAAGTTAAGTAACCTTGACAGACCAGCATGGGAACTATAAGACATTTTATAGTACTTTAATAGGAAACAGCGGACTTAGAATTGAACTTTGATGAGACATGATGGTAAGTTGCCCTGTATTTACATTTTAATTTATAAATGTGGTTTTGCACATTATGCTGAAATGAGATCTCCTGATGATAACTCAAGTCTTTCTCTTTGGTTGGATTAGATTTGCTCTTGGCTTGAAGCTTTTTGCATTCCTAATCAGAACACTTATTTGGAGGTGACTAGTGGATGAAATAGGGACATGAAAGTTTTTAATGTCAAAATTAAAATACAGTAATTACTCTTGGGACTTTGAAACTCTGAGGACCTATAGGGTAAGGTAGGAATCCAAATGATCAGTGTTTTTAAAATTAATTCTTGCTAAGGCTATGTCTAATTTTTTAAAAGGTGTTTCTTTGCTTAATTAAGGTTGGAAAGCAGTGTTTGAGGAAAACAAAATTACTATGTATATTTTTAGCAAGGTTAACTAGAACAAAAATGTAAAGACTTTCTATCAAGTACATAGAAGCAAAGGCCTTATACAACATTCCCCTCATGTGGATGTCTGTAAATGGATTAAAAATGGCTTAAGTTTTGCAGTTTTGCCTTAATACCCAGCACACGACCCTTTATCTCTTGAGTTATTAAAGATGTCAGCAAACTGGCTTATCTTTCTCTATTAAAAATACGGTATTTTTAATACCAGATAAATGTATAATTTTTAAAGCCATAAAATAGATAAGTGGTTCGGTTGAACATTAGCTGTTGGAAAACATTTTAAGGACTGAAAAATGTGTTTAAAAAAAACAGGATTTCATTATTCATTAAAAATTGTCTTGAGATTTTTTTCTGGCTTCTTAGCATACCACAAGCATTTAACTGTATGTATTTCTTTTATAGATCTTTGCTTTAACTTAACTCATGAAAACATGACTATCAAGATGAATTTTAATTATATAAAGCATACTTGTGGAAGTTCATTTGATCTCCTTGGAATAAAGCTGTAACTTAAAGTTTTCATTTATGTTAATTGTTAATGCTGATGATCTTGAAAATTAAGAATTTTGAACATTTACTCTGTGCCTGACACAGCTAGGCAGTCATTCATGCATCATCTGATTCAGTCCTCATGACACCCCTAGGCGATATAGGTCTGATTCTCCAACTTTGTAGATGAAGAAACTAGGCTTAGCAAGGGTAAGCGAGTAGCCAGAGTTCTCACAGCTAGTATGTGGCAGAGCTGAATGTCAGAGCCAGATTGTTTTGCTCCAGAGCTGGTGAGTCTTGTCACTTTGTTATTTGTGTGCATTCAGTTTTGTTATATTTTAATAAATAGTTACTAGGATAAAAATTACAATATATAAGCACTATTTCAGTGGGAATAAGGAGCCTATAGAATTTCAGAATTGGAGTGACCTTTATTTTTCCCGCAAGAATTCTAGTAATAAAGGTTTTTTTTAGGGGCACCTGGGTGATTCAGTCGGTTAAGTGTGTGCTTTTGGCTCAAGTCATGATATCAGAGTCCTGGATTTGAGCCCCACATTGGGCTCCCTGAGTCTGCTGCTTCCTCTCCTCAACCCCTCCCTCCCCCTCTTGTGCTCACATTCAAATAAAATCTTAAAAAAAGGGGCGGGGGGTGGTGCCTGAATGGCTCAGTCTATTAAGCTTCTGCCCTAGGCTCAGGTCATGATCCTGGAGTCATGGGATTGAGTCCCACATCAGGCTCCCTGCTCGGCAGGGAGTCTGCTTCTCCCTCTGTCTGCTGTTCCCAGAGCTTATACACTCTCTCTCTCTTTTACTCTCGTTACGTATCAAATAAATAAATATTTAAAAAGGAAAAAAAAAGGTTTCTTTTAATAGCTATGTTTATGTAGTTATAAAATCAAGAGGTCTTGCAGATCCAGCATTTAATTATCTGTAGCTTCAACTCATGAGTAATGTTTATTTTCCTGTCATACTAGCAGTGTAATTAGTACTGTGCTTCCTTAATACATTCTTAATATATGTTACAAGAGACATCACACTGCCAGTTAGAGAAACTCTTGAGCCAGAAAACCACTGTTTGTCAGAGTATTACCATTAACAGTTCAATTACATGCAAGTTAAGAGTTTAATTTATAGTATAAAAACTTGTTCTGTGGGAGAAGTCATGTGGTAACAGGCATATAATAATTAGCACGGGAAAGCCATACTTGAAAATAATAGCTTCAGTCTGACATAGAAAATAATGTAATTTCTTTCTCTGTATTCTGAAAATGAACTGTTTGGTAAAGTTGCTAATAAATAGTTTATTTCAAATAATCTGACTGAGGCCTTATGTAATAGAGAATTTTAAAATACTGATATTGTTGGGATCGGTTTTAAAATTTTCTTACTTGAAAGACATCTTAAATTTTTTTTTTTTTAAGATTTTATTCGTTTATTTGACAGAGATCACAAGCAGGCAGAGAGGCAGGCAGAGAGAGAGGAGGAAGCAGGCTCCCTGCTAAGCAGAGAGCCCGATGTGGGGCTCGATCCCAGGACCCTGAGATCATGACCTGAGCCGAAGGCAGCGGCTTAACCCACTGAGCCACCCAGGCGCCCCGACATCTTAAATTTTTAAAAATTAAAATTGTAAGAGTAAGTTTTGACATTCTGACAACTTGTTTTTCTTTAGGAGTAGATCCCATAATAGATCACGTTCAAGACAAAAAGACAGACGTAGATCTAAGAGCCCACATAAAAAACGCTCTAAATCAAGGGAGAGACGGAAATCAAGGAGTCGTTCACGTTCACGGTGAGTCTTGGGGAAATTAGCGGTAATTTTTCTCATGGCTTCATTTATTAAAAAATTATTGTGCTTTAGGTTTTTAATGAGAGACATTTAATTTTTTTATTGCTTTAGTAGTGATTAATATTGATTGCCATTGATTTGAATCTGGTGATCAGAATGACTCGAGGTTTCTAAAATATGTAATTAAACTGGGTAACTGTTTCATCTAACAGCCTCATGTACACCTGGGTTATATAGAAATTACCATGTATTATAAGCTAGTATAAGTTGTTTTGTTGAAGAAAAGGAGGTCCTTTTTGGGGAGTAGAATAATTTTAGTTGTGAATTTATTTATTTATTTTTGTTTTTAAAGGGACAAGAGAAAAGACACCCGAGAAAAGATCAAGGAAAAGGAAAGAGTGAAAGAAAAAGATAGAGAAAAGGAAAGGGAAAAAGAGAGAGAGAGGGAGAAGGAACGTGAAAAAGAAAAGGAACGGGGTAAAAACAAAGACCGGGATAAAGAACGGGAAAAGGACCGGGATAAAGACAAGGAAAAGGACAGAGAGAGAGAGCGGGAAAAAGAACATGACAAGGAGCGAGACAAGGACAAGGAACAGGACAAAGAAAAGGAGCGAGACAAAGACAGATCCAAAGAGATAGATGACAAAAGAAAGAAGGATAAAAAATCCAGAACACCACCCAGAAGTTACAATGCATCAAGAAGATCTCGTAGTTCCAGCAGGTTTGATAATGCTTAAAATTTTTACGAAGGGGTTTACTGATAACAAATGAGAATGTGAATTTTAACCAAGGGGGAAGTGGAAACAGTACATAAGTGGAAACAGTACAGTAATACCAGAACGTTGCCCTTTAATTGCAGAATAAACATTTCTCTAGTAGAGCACTTGCCACAGTATTAGAATCTATGAGGTGGAAAAGATGATAATTGGGCAATTTGAAAAGTTTTAACTATCCTTTGTAATTCCTGGTATAAAACATTGGCTGCTATTGCTTATTTTCTTGGAGGATGAGATGGCAAGGACAAGGTTTTCTTTTTTCTTTCCCCTGCCCTTCTTTTTAACTTCTTGGTAAATTTTCATATTCAGAATGCTTATTAAAATTCCATTTGTTTTTACTGCTCTGTTTTGTTGAGTGCATGACTTAAATTTTGGTTTTCCTTGATCTGTCAATGTTAAGATTTTCCTTTTTTCTGAGGACTGTTCCGTCTACTAATAAGTACACTGCCACCAGGTGGCAGCAGGTTGCCATAGTAACAGCGGCAAAAAGAAGACGACCTTCCTTGATTCAAGATTATCTAAACCTATATCCATTACTCCACATGATATAGTAACTGAGTAAATGGGAGTTCTTAATTTTTTTAGAAATAGATCTTAAAAATACTAAACAAAACACCTATTTTAGCAAGTTTTTATGACTTTTAAACTTGGTTTTTCATAGAAGGTGATTGGAGATGAATGCATATTTCCTGTTTTTCTAACTTTGTGTTCTAGTAGCTTGTTCCTAATATACCAGTCTTCAGTTAGGTAATACAAGATAATTGCAGGCGTTTGTTGAATGCTTTACCAAATGTCAGATTTTGTCTTGGCACAGTTTTTCATGACTAGCCTTACTTAATTGTCACAGTAAGTCCGTGAGAAGACTATTACTATCATGGTTTCCAAGTGTGATAATACCACGGCTTAGGGGAGGTTTTCGATCTGCTCTGCACTTCCATATTAGAAATACGGTAGTTCTTTCTCTTCTTTTTAAGAGATTAAGTTTAATTGAGAATTCTCTAATCAGAACTTGGTACCTGCTTTAAGAAACTACCGCAGAAGCATAAAGTTGAAAGTAATAGTGTATGTAAACAGACCGCTGTTGTATTTCAGCACATTGAACCAGAAACTGAAGAATTAACTTAGCTTCTTTGCTGTGGACCTCAGTCAAGCCTTGCAACTATTCTTTTGCCGCACAATGATTTTATTGATTGTCTTTCACACCTTCTTTTGTGTTTATGTGATCATTTAATTATTACCCTTCATAACACAAAACAATATTTTGGTTCCTTTTAAATTCAGTTGAATTTACTTTTTGGATGACTTTGAAATGTTTAGTTTTGTCAGGGGCCATTTTAAGTTGCTTGACATTTAAGGAAGTTCAGATGTTTACATTCATTCCTAAATATATTAACTAACCTCTGGGGCCTGGAAAAGAAAGGCTAACTAACATTAGTTTCTAAAGGTTCAGAAGTTTGGTATGTTTTGTGCTTTCATAAGAGCTTGGTGAAGAGTTACAATTTGTCATCTTTTAGCATTTTCCTGTTTTTTTTGTGCTCTGATTTGTTTAGTAAACAGGAAACATTTTCATGGCTCAGAAAAATAGGGTATGTGGCATTTTATTTTCAACATTGTCCTCTAACCTACATTTTTAAAGAAAATTTTGATACTTACACAACTTTCACAGTGTTTTCAGTAACAAGCAATAAAGCTAGTGAGGAGAAAGGAGAAAATATTGACACTGAGTATGTGCAGGACACTGTGCATGGTACTTATAGGTATCATCCTAAATCCTCATAACAGCACTATCAAGCTTAGTTATTAACCCCATTTTCCAGTTGGAAAAACTGAAACTCAGGTTAAGTAATATGGCCCTAGTCATGCAGCTGGTAAGTAGTGGAACTAAAATTTAAATCTAAGTGTAACCAACTACAGTTCGTTTTACTACCCCTGACTGCCTCTTTCTCACCTAATTGGTGTTCTGGATTGCTGTCTGTCCAGACTTAGCTCTCATTATCATCAGCTGTTAGTTACTAGATGTCTACCTATACACAGTGCTTCCTGAACAAAGTTAAACAGTCAAAACTGGTCACAGTGGAACCATTTTGTGGGTAAACAAAGTCTAAAATACATTGATATTCTCATGCTATAAAATAAGTATTTGTGGTACTTAAACTGAGCTGTTACAGAATGGCATTGACTGAATGGAATATCTTTCCCTAATTTTCACATTAGTCAGGAAGTATAATTTTGGGGTGTTTTGGGATAAAATTGGGTAATGGAGGAGAGATCTTGAGGTAAAATTGGAATTGATGGTGTTTTCAAAGTTCTTGGCTATTTTGGTCTTGACATACATTGTATCTACCACATCTGAGCGTTCTCTAATATTTTATAATGAAAAATATAGGCAAAATGCTTCTTTAGCTTAGAATATTATTTATTTGTTTATTTGACAGAGATCGCAGGGGGGCAGGGGAAGCAGGCTCCCCACAGAGCAGGTAGCCTGATGTGGGGCTCGATCCCAGGATCCCAGGATCATGACCTGAGCCGAAGGCATAGGCTTAACCCAGTGAGCCACCCAGGCTCCCCTAGCCTAGAATATTCTTACTGAGGGTGGTGTGGAGAACTTGGATTCTAGGGGTTTTGGTTCTTTCACCTATATGGCCACTAATTATTAGAGCTCCTTGGGAGATGATTGGACACATTAATCATAGTATGTCCTCCTACCTCATCCCTGAATTATGGACATCTTGAAATTCATTGTTTCTCAGTTGACCACGCTTATAAATAAAGTCATTTGGTAACATGTTAAACAAAATAGTTTTTAATAATACTAAACACTGTAATTCATTGGTTATTTTTTATTTCATATTTAAGCCACCCCAGGTTTTAACTATTTTACTTCTGTCTAAGCAACTTGTTCATTCAGTTTAAATGAATAGAGCAATAAAATGGTAGGAAGTTGGAGGATAAAACAATTTCTCTGTAAAACAGATTAATGTAAATTATTTTTTAGAGACATTCTAAATGCTTGAATTTGGGAAGTTCACATTTTGGAAGCCAACTTAATCTTTTATAAAATAATCCACAGTGGGGCAGCAAGGAGTTAGATGCAGGACAAAGGATCTGGATAAGCAGAACATATTTTAGATGCTGGAGAAGAACATACGTAACTTGAAAGAATCTGAAATATCCTTTGGTATTTTTTTCCATTCAGGAAATTAGTGTTCAAATAAACCAGATGAAAAGGAGTCTTCTCCCTTTTCTGTTATGATATCTTAGAACATATTTTCATGTCTGTAAAATTCATGGTTCAAAATTTGACTTGCAGTAATATTAGATAATAGAACATGTTCTTGGGGGCCTGGGTGGCTCAGCTGTTAGGCATCTGCCTTCAGCTCAGGTCATGATCTCAGGTTCCTGGGATTGAGCCCTGCATCGGACTCCCTGCCCGGCAGGAATCCTGCTTCTCCCTCTCCCACTCCCCCTGCTTGTGTTCCCTCTCTTACTGTGTTTCTCTCTGTCAAATCAATCAGTCAATCTCAAAAAAAGAAAAAAGGACATGTTCTTTAAAGGACATGAGTTTAAACTGATCTTTGAAGACTACTGTTAACTAGAGAGTCTTAAGGACCCTTTTGTTTTTGTGTATTTGAATTGCGCTTTATTAAAATTGCTGCATTTTTAAATGATATATTTTTGATTTTCAGGGAAAGGCGTAGGAGGAGGAGCAGGAGTTCTTCCAGATCACCAAGAACATCAAAAACTATAAAAAGGAAATCTTCTAGATCTCCATCTCCTAGGAGGTAGGTTGAAAGTGTGTACTAAATCCAAGGATGGAGCGGGGGAAGAAAATTTTTCTTTTTGATCTATTTTTAAACTTTTTATTTTGAATGAGTAATATGTTACACATTTGCATGTTCAGAAATCCCAACACTATAAAAAGTAATACATCAGTTCACCTATGCACTATAAGTAGTGACTTCATTTTTTTGTATTGTATATCCTTCTGGTTTTGTGTAGAGATCTACAACATTGAAATTTATAGTTTCTTTTCATATTTCTTATCCAGAAGGTAGCACAAAAAAACACTTGTGCCCTTGCTTTTTGTCAGTCAACAGCCCGGAGACCTTTACGTATCCATCAGCGAGTGCTGCTTTACTCTTTTTTAGAATTGCATGGACTTCATTGTGTGGCAGTACTTTTGTTTATTTAACCAGCCTGCAGTAGTATGGGTTTGCTTAATTTTCCTGTATTATAAATTAGACTGTACTGTAGTGAGTACCTTTGGACTTAACTTCATTGTGTGCAGGTTATGTGGGAAAATTCCATAAGTGGTATTGTTGGGTCACAGCTTAAGTGTGTTTATAATTTGGACAGGTGTTTCTTTATGCCCTCCGGATAGATTGGCAGCAGTTCACGTGTCAGCTGGCTGTGTAGGAGTAGGTTTTCTCTCAGCTGCACTGTATTATGTTACTATAGTTGCGGGGTTTTGACTGTCTGATAGATGAGAAATTGTCTCAGTATATAATCAGTAATTTTAGTTGCATTTCTTTGAAGAGTGAAGGTGACCTTCTCATCATATATTTCAAGGCCATATATATTTCCTTTTCTGTGAATTGTTGGTATACTTTGGCCATTTTTTGGTGGGGTCTGCTTTTTGTTTTTTTGTTTGTTTTTAGAATTTTCTTACTTTCAGGGGCTCTTTTTATATTAGAGTGATATTTTTTTTTAAGTTTTGTTTTTATTTTTGTTTTGTGTTTTTGTTTTTAACAAGCTCTACCCCCAACATGGTGCTCGAACTCAAAAACCTGAGATCAAAAGTTGCATGCTCTTCTGAGCCAGCCAGGCCCCCCGTATTAGGGAGATTAGTGATTTGATATGAGGTATCATTCCTACTTTGTCATTTCTTTTCAGAAAATATTATGAGACTTGATTTTAAAAAGGATTTTGATTTTTTTTTATAATTACCCAAGTTTTTTCTTTTTTCTTTCTTTTTTTTTTTTTTTTTTCTTTAAAGTAGACTGTAAAACCAGTGTGGAGCCTCAGACTCAAAACCCTAAGATTGAGGGTTACATGTTCTACTGACTGAGCCAGTCAGGTGCCCCTCAAATTTTTTCTTTTATGACTTCTGGATTTTGAGTCACATCAGATTAGGTCTTTTCTAAGATTATAATTGAATGCCTTCCATTGTTTCTTCTTATACTTTTATGGTTTTACTTACTGCATTAAAATCTTTGATCCATTAGGAGGAGGTCATCCTTATGTATAGTATGGCATGTGGGTCCAATTTTATTTTTCCATATGCTTTTCTTTTGATCAGTATAATTTATTAAAAACTCAGTTTTTCAAACTTTGATTTGTTATATTGCCTTTTCAGGTATTAAATATTTCTTTCTGTGTATGGGTCTATTTCTGGGCCCTTGCTGCTGCTGGGTTGGTTTGACTGATTATCATGTACCAATGCTCCAGGCTTTTTATTACTCAAATTGTGTAGTATTTTTTTAACATTTAGTAAGCCTGATCCTCCCCCACACTTCGACTGCTGTTTTTTGAGCATTTCTGGCAATTCTTACCTGGTTTTTTTGTTTTTGTTTTTGTTTTTGTTTTTTCCATTTGAAAATAAGAGTTGTTTAGGTTCTAGGAATAAAATCTGGAATAAAATCTAGAAATAAAGTTAACTTAGGGGAAGTTGATAAATCAGTTTTTTTAATAAATGAAGCTTTGTGATGGTGAGTTTTTCTATACCGACTCTTTTTCACTTTCTTAAACCATCCATAGTGTTATTTTAAGAATGTTTCAGTGTGGGCGCCTGGGTGGCTCAGTGGGTTAAGCCTCTGCCTTTGGCTCAGGTCATAATCTCGGGGTCCTGGGATTGAGTCCCACATCGGGCTCTCTGCTCAGAAGGGGGCCTGCTTCCCTGTCTCTCTCTCCGCCTGCCTCTCTGCCTACTTGTGATATCTCTTTCTTTCTCTCTTGCTCTGTCAAATAAATAAATAAATCTTAAAAAAAAAAGTTTCAGTGTTTGTTTTGTACAGATTTTATGCAACTTCTAAGTTTATTCCTAGATCTCTTTTTGTTGTTGCCCTTGTTAATGAGGTTTTTTCTTTCATTATGTCCTCTCATTGCTGGTTGGGTTTGTGCTGCAAAGGAAGGTTATTGCATTCTGTGTATTTATTTTTCATTCCACTACCTTAATGAATGGGCATAGTTTTTCGGTTGGTTTTCCCTGGTTTTCTAGGTATAGAAAAGAGAAATTTATAAAAACCTTTGTCAGCGTGTAGAGAAGAGCATGTTTCTCAGTAGGGGTCTTATGTTTATTTGTGTTGTTTTGGGGTGAGGATAATAGACAGCATATGATACTGTAGTTGTGGGCCACATATGTATTTTTTTTTTTTAAGATTTTATTTATTTATTTGACAGACAGAGATCACAAGTAGGCAGAGAGGCAGGTAGAGAGAGAGGGGATAGCAGGCTCCCTGCTGAGCAGAGAGCCCGATGTGGGGCTCGATCCCAGGACCCTGAGATCATGACCTGAGCCCAAGGCAGAGGCTTTAACCCACTGAGCCACCCAGGCGCCCCCACATATGTATTTTTAATACTTTGCTCATGAAAGATAAGACTTTTCAGTTAGGAACTCAAATTAGATAAAAAGATGTGTTCACAAAGTTACTTTTTGCCTGTTTGTTGTGCATTGCTCCCCATTCACCTTTTGTAAGTAATCGATTGTTTTTATCCTTCCTGTGTTTCTTTTTGCAAAATTAAGCAGATGCATTGATTAGAATAACTCATTCCTTCACGAAAGATAGCATACATTATGTATATACTGTGTGTGGGGGGGCGGGGGGGAGAGACTACCTAGCCCCAACTACACCTTGGGTTTATTTATTTATAGATTTAAAAGATTTTATTTATTTATTTGGCAGAGAGCACACAAGCTGGGGAGAGACAGGCGGAGGGAGAGGGAGAAGCAGGCTCCCTGTGGAGTAGGGTGCCCCTTGGAGGACTCGATCCTAAGACCCTGGGAGTATGATGGGAGCTGAAGGCAGATGCTTAACCAACTGAGCCACCCAGGCGCTCCTTAGGTGTTTTGGTTTTTTTTTCTTTTGGAATTGAGAAATAATCCACATGTCATAAAATTCACTTTAAATATGCAATTCACTGGTTTTTAATGAGGTTCACAGTATCGTCAGCCATCACTGCTACTTAATTCCAGAATATTTTTTTCACTTGAAAACCCATACCCATAGCACTTAGTCCCTACTAGCTCCTGGGAGTCCCTAGTCTAACTTACTCTGTGGATTTGCCTGTGCTGGACATTGGTATATGGACTCGTGCAGTATGCGTAGTGTTCTGTATTTGTATTACATTAAATGTAATGTTTCTAAGGTTCGTGTTGGAGCATGTATCGATATCTTACTCCTTGTGTGAATAATACTCCGTTGAATGGATGAAACCATGTTTTACTTATCCATTCATTAGTTAATGAACTTTTTCCATTTTTTAACTATTATGTGTAATGCTTCCATGAACATTAATTGACAAGTTTTTGTTTAGGCACTTGTTTTCCTTTCTCTGGAGCACGTGCCTAAGGAGTGGTAATTGCTGAGTCTTATAGTACTCTTTTTATCTTTTTTTTTTTTTTAAATCAGTATGCAGAGCAGCGAATCAATTTATTTACTTATTTACTTAATATTTTAGTTTCTAAGTAATCTTAGGGTGGCGCTAGTCACCTGCTCTACCAAGTGAACCAGCCAGGTGTTCTTCTCCTTATCTTTTTAGAAACTGCCAGACTGTTTTCCCAAATGCCTCTGTCATTCGACCTTCCCACCAGCATTATGCTAGCACTCCCATTTTCTCTGCATGCTCACCAACACTTGTTATTGTCTGCCTCTGATTATAGCCATTCTGCTGAGTATATAATGGTATCTTGTACCATCTTGTAGTTTTGGTTTGCGTTTTTCTAATGAATAGTGATGTCGAGCATCTTTTTTTTAAAGATTTTATTTATTTATTTACTTGACAGAGATCACAAGTAGGCAGAGAGGCAGGCAGAGAGGGGGAAGCAGGCTCCCCGCTGCTGAGCAGAGGGCCTGATGCGGGGCTCTATCCCAGGATCCTGGGATCATAACCTGAGCTGAAGGCAGAGGCTTTAACCCACTGAGCCACCCAGGCGCCCCTGTTGAGCATCTTTTTGTGTGCTTTATTGATCATTTATATATCTTAGGGGACATGTCTTTTCAAGTTTTCTGCCCATTTCCAAATTGGGTTATTTGTATTTTGTTAAGTTGTGAGAGTTCTTTAAATTCTCTATATTAATCTCGTACCAGAGACATGATTTACAAATATTCTCTCCTGTTTTGTGGGTTGCCTTCTCATTTTCTTGATACTATTCTTTGGTTCACAAAAGCTCTTAATTTTGATGTAGTCAGATTTATCTATTTTTTCCTTTCAATGCCTGTGCTTTTGGCGTCATATCCAGGAAATCATTGGTAAATGCAATGTCATGAAGATCTTCTCCTATGTTTTCTTCTAAGAATTTTATAGTCTTAGCATACACATTTAGGTCTTCAATCTATTTTGAGTTAACTTTTTAATATAGTATAAGATAATGGTCCAACTTTATTCTTGTACATGTGGGTATCCAGTTTTCCCGATGTCATTTGTTGAAAAGATTGTCCTTCCCCCATTGAATGTATCTTGGCATCCTTGTCAGAAATAATTTGAACCATTTATGTGGGAGTTTATTTCTGGGTCTTCTGGTCTATTCCACTGGTTTATTTTCTGTCCTTATATAATACTGTACTGTTTTGATTACTGTACCTTTGGATAGTAAGTTGGGAATGCTGTGCCTTCAACCTTTATTCTTTTTAAGATTGTTTTTTTTGGGGGGGGGGTTTGTTTTTTTTTTAAAGATTTTATTTTTTTATTTATTTGACAGAGAGAGGGAGATCGCAAGTAGGCAGAGAGGCAGGCAGAGAGAGAGGGGGAAGCAGGCTCCCTGCTGAGCAGAGAGCCCGACGCGGGACTTGATCCCAGGACCCTGAGATCATGACCTGAGCTGAAGGCAGAGGCTTAACCCACTGAGCCACTCAGGCGCCCCTCTTTTTAAGACTGTTTTGGCTGTTTGATGTCCTTAAAGATTCTGTATGCATTTTAGGGTGAGTTTTTGTATTTCTGCAACAACAGCAATGGGATTTTGATAGAGGTTGCATTCAGTCTCTAGGTGGCTTTGGATACTGTTGCCATTTTAACAATATTTAAGTCTTTCAATCCATAAACATGGATGTCTTTCTATTTATTTGTCCTCATCTTTTTCAGCAAATTTTTTGACTCCTTGGTTAAATTTACTCCTAAGACTTTTATTCAGTTTGATGTGATTGTTCCCTTGATATTTAAAAATTATGTAGAAAGATGTACACATATGTTGTAAATATGTCATTTTTCTTTTGAATATGGTAATGTATTTTTTTTTTGCTTGCAAAGGTTTACGTAGGCAAATTTATCAGTCTTTTATTATACCTGAATTTAGTTGTCGTTAAAAAAAATCTTACAGGAATTTACTCATGTGTTCTTCTAGCATTTGTATTTTATTTTAAAAATTTAGTTTTCTCATCCATTTGGACCTATTTATATATTGTGGAATGAGGTACGAGATACTGAGTTTTATCACTTACCAAATAATAATCCAGTTGTAAGACCCATCTTTTCCTCAATGATTTGAGATGCTACCTTTCTTACACTAAATATTTATATGTACTTAGTTCTGCTTGCCCAGTGTCTTTATTTGTTTTCTTGGTCTTTGTCTTTATTTTTGAATTATTCATTAATAAGAGAAAAAAGCTTAAAATACCACATTAAGGACAACTTGTTAAAACTAGAAAGTCTTGGGGCGCCTGGATGACTCAGTGGGTTAAAGCCTCTGCCTCCAGCTCAGGTCATGATTCCCAGGGTCCTGGGATTGAGCCCCTCATTGGGCTCTCTGCTCAGCGGGGAGCCTGCTTCCTCCTCTCTCTCTGCCTGCCTCTCTGTCTACTTGTGATCTCTCTCTGACAAATAAATAAATAAAAATCTTAAAAAAAAAAAAAAGGTAGAAAGTCTTATGTTTCCGATTAGAAATACATTGTTTTGTTCTCTAATTCTAAGGGTATATTGTTTTTATCATTGGAACTTGTTCTTGTAGTCTTCTCTTAACTTTTGATCTTGAATTGGTGCGACTTGTTTGTAATGGTGAATGACAATGGCAGTAGCACTGGTTATTTTGAAATTCCAAGTTTTGCTGGTATTCAGTCATTCAGTCCTCCCTGGGAGATGCCTTTAATTCTTTGTCCTTTTCATTCCTTTCTGCTTACTCATTTTTTGCTTTGAAAAGGTGGGTAAAAAAACCTGTGTATTTGCTTTTATTTTAATCTCATTACAGTTGATAAAAAAATCTTGAACAAATAAATTGAAAATATGAAATTGTGGTTTATGTGAACACATGGTGACCTCTGCAAAAAGACTTGGGCATCTTGAAAAAATTAATTGTGATACGGAGTGAGCAGGTGGGGCTATAGGACTGTTTATGTTACTTGGTCAGACCAGATTACTGATGGGCTTACATATAGTGCGTTAGTGTTAGAGAAGACTGTTTTGTCAACGACATAGTAGGTCTTTAATCTCTTAGAAGTTAACTGGCATATTATCACTGTTCTTATAGCAGAAATAAGAAGGATAAAAAGAGAGAAAAAGAAAGGGACCATATTAGTGAAAGAAGAGAGAGAGAACGATCAAGCTCTACAAGAAAGAGCTCTAATGACCGAGATGGAAAGGAAAAGTTGGAGAAGAACAATACTTCACTTAAAGTAAGTAGCAGGCATTCATTATTTAGGCTTTGAATAATTAATAATTGAGATTTTTTTTTTTAACATAGGACTAGATTTAGACCAAAATCATTTTGAGGGCTGTGGTATCTTGTACGTTTTTGGTATCTTTTAATATTTATTCAATTGGTAACTTTTTTAAGCTGGATTTTTGAAGGGATGAGGTAAGAGCTAACTGAAACTCATATGCTTTCCTTACTTTAGGGAGTCCTAGAATGGCATACAATAAGACTGTTCGTACATAACATGTGTATTATATGTGGAACAATATATGATAAGGTATTTGATTTTATACAAAGATTTCTGGTTGAGGGCACTTTCCTCAAAATATTATATATATTCTTGAAATAGATTTGTTTCAGCAAATCTGACAAAAGTTCTGTCATCATTGGCTTTGTAATGTACACTGAAATTAGTAGATTTACTGGATTAGAATAATTAACGGAAAACCAAATTCCACCAAGTAAGGGTATTTTTGGGGATAAATATTTACTTATGAATTACATTAATTGCTTTGTTATTTCAGTAAGTTTATTTGTATTTGGAAATCAGTTATGAGTTTTGGAGCTTTCATCTTATAATTTTATTTACTCATTGGTAGGGTTTTATCATTATTGTCAGTAACATTGACAATGTCTCTTGAGCATTTCTGTATGTCTGATGTCAGACATTGTTCCGTATGTTCTCATTTAATTCTCCTTTAAGCTGAGGGCAGAATTGCACTGTTCTTGAGCAGTCTTTGCTAGGACAAATAGTGATTTCTTTTTCTACATCCTCTAAATTTTGCTTCTTTGATATCCAGATTACAGATCTATCCTGGCATCTTTGGGAGCTGTTTAACTCTTTCAGCAGATCTCTTCCATTTTTTCAATTTAGTAATGTTTACTGAACACTTCCTAGACTTTCTTCTAGACTATTTTATTCTAATTTAATTTACAGTTTCCATATTTTATGAAAAGTATGGAGGACACACTGATACATGTTTGCATATCTTATTTATATGATAAGGTAATGACAGAAAATACCCACTTTTACTAAGTTCACAGAAATACATATGTTAGCCATAACCAGATGTAACAGGCAATTCTTGAGAAAAATATTAAATGTGTGGCTTCATATTTATTGTAGGAGAAGGAACACAATAAAGAACCAGAATCAAGCGTGGGCAAAGAAGTAGATGATAAGGATGCACCAAGGACCGAGGAAAACAAAGTACAGCAAAATGGAAATTGTCAGCCAAATGAAGAAAACCTCTCTACCAAAACAGAAGCGGTATAGGACTGACAAATGCACCTCTAAACACACGCTGGAATAAAATCCAAAGCTTTTAAATCTCTCAACAAGATGTTAAACAGTGAAGAAATCCAGTTGAGCATAAAGATACAAACTAACAGCTTTTCTAGTTGTTAGGTGACTGTGTGGCCATCTTGTTCCGGAGTAAGAAAATAAAGCATGGACATCCTGAAAATGACAGCCTCATCTTCTAGAATCTGTGCATTTCCATGGTGGCTGACACACTTGTCATGTGCTTTGTTAGTGTTTGCCAAGAACCATTACAAATAAATGGGACATCAAAATCCAAATTTGTACTATCCTTAAAGACTGGAGATAAGCATTGGAGGCTCTTTTTAAAAATGGTAGTTGCTGAATTTTGTATTGTTTTACTTTTTTTTTTTTTTAATTTCGATATATACAGATTTGATGATGTGCTTGAAATCGGTGGAAGTATATATACATCCTTGTAAGTGCAGAGTATGTAAGAAGTTTTTAACATTTACTTCACAGGATTTACGGTGATTGTGTTAAATTCTCACTATTGTGTTTTCTTTTGCTCACTGTTTAGGACAACAGGTTTTTTTTGTTAAAATAGTTTTACAGACTAAAGTTGCTTAAATAAGTGGATTAACAAACAACTGACAATGCATGCTCCTGTTCTCTCTCAAAAGGAAGAGCACCCGTGTTGAATACTAATAATAGTGTATTAGTATTCAGTGTTTAGAATCATTGGGTCTCCCCACAGAGTAAGCATTTCTTTTTGAACTTTCTTGACATTTCCAAGCTTATTACAAATAATACTGCAGTGTGTATTGTCAGCTGTAGGTGGCAAAGGTGCCATTATAAAAAGAAAACTGGGTTTTCAAAATGGGCTATGGGAGCACAAGCTGAAGCTTTAGTGCCTTCTACAATGTGGTATGCTGTTTTCTAGAATTTTATATGTGCTAGTCATTCTCGGTTCATATGGAACATAGATGGGTATTCACTCACTCCCATAGAGAAGGGTGCAAGTGGTATGTCAGAAGAGCTTCTTACATAGTTCACCTAACATGAGGGAAGTCCTATTTTCAAGAATGACTTTAGAGCTTAAAACAACAATGCAGTTTTGGGACCATCAGTTTTATACTGTGATAATTGAAAATGAAGCACGTTCGTTCTTTACTTAAATCAGAGCAAACACTTTTGTTGTCTCCATTGGATGGCCTTAATTATTACCTCTTAATCATCTTCTCATAAATGATGTGCAGAAATTCTATGTAAAAGAGAACACATGAGGTTATTTGTTTTAAGGATATGTTTACTTGAGTTTAAAATGTAGGTCATTCGTTACTCTTAGGCTCACTTTCTGCAGAAAGTATGCAAGTAGGAAAACAGCATTGCTAATATTTTCCCCCAAAGCCATAACTCATAGTTTCAGATATCTTTTCATTATTGTTTTGTTCCCCTAAAAGTTATACCTTTTAATTAGCATGTTATTTAAAAAATCAAGTATCATTATTTTAATGCAACCTAATACAATCAAATTACTCCGTTGCCTTACCTCATGGGAAGAGTTACTTAGAGATTTAAGAAGCTGAGTAGCACATCAGTTACTTGGTTTCAACTTGAGTTTTCTTTTAATGTTAATACTATTGAAACTTAAGTACTGGGTAGAGAATGGAAAGAATTGCCCTTATTGCAGTGAAGCCTGGTTTGATTATGAAGCTGCTTAATTACTCTTCATGTGTTCAGAATAACTTTGTTTTTTTTTCCTTTTTGTCACTGTGTACATTAAAATTTTTGAAAATGCTTTACTATGTAAAGTATAGATGGTCATTTTAATCATTCAGCCACATACGGTTGGCTGGTAAACAGCTTATTCTGATACAAGAATGCTTGGGTGCATATGGAAAGATTGCAAAGGAGTGGGTGTCTTGCACCAACAGCTGTCTTATTTATAATATGTAAGTAGAATAGAGCAAATGTTTGAATCTTTGTTATTTTTAGTACCATTTCTCTAATAAAGCTAAGTATTTTAGAGGAAAGTACTTGTTTATGCATTTCAAAATAGCATCTTAGTTTATCATGTTTATCTTGTTTTAGTTGGCATAGAAATTATTTCGACTTGGAGAATGAATGTGTGGTGTCTATAAAAATCATCATTTAAAGTTTGAGCTATTTCTTGTACTCTGGACTCTTAATGTTCCGTGTTGACAGTTGACAAACTTAATTTGGTTCTTGCTGCTAATTATTTCTCCTGTTGGTGATATTCAGCTTTAAAACGATGATGATGCTTTTGGAAGACTCCGATTTGTTAAAGTTGGACATGAATAGGAATACAAGAGATCCAGAGAAAGTGAAAAAATGTTCTTAAATGGGCTTATGGAAGCAAAGCTTTCTAGGGCCTGGAGGTATTGGAGTGAGTGTGAGTGTGCATGTGTGTGTGTGTGTGTGTGTGTGTGTGTGAGAGAGAGAGAGAGACTTTTTTGTTGTTGTTCACTTATAGGAGCCAGGTAGGTTTCCATTTATTTGTTATTTTCTTGCAAGGCGTTTTGTTTTTTCTTTAAGGCTATTCTTTTTTTAATCCAGGTAGATGTTGTCAGGAAAACTTGAGGTAAGGCCAAGAAGACAGGCGTTTTATACTTGATCTGTTCTATAATTATCTCTTTTAGCCTGATTAAACAGAGTAGATTCTGTTCCTTAATTGTGTTGCTATTCATCATTTTAGACAAAGTCTGTTGATCCTCTTGTTCTTTCTTTTCAGCAATGAGATGAATTATTTATACTAAGATGGGCCTTCATAATAAGCTGGCTATTTTCATACGTGTAAACAAGTATAAATCCACAACTTCTTCAGTTATCTCCTTATTATTCTCTATCTAATCCAATTAATTTATAATTGCAAACACTAATCAGCTTGTGATTTTGTTCAGAATTCTTACATTCAGGAGGTTCTATATATACTATGTTGATCTTCAGAAATGTCTGAGGCTTAAATTTTGAAATGCTCAAAAATAAGAACTCATATTTAGAATCCTTTTTTGTGAAGAAAATAACTTCATTTGTGATATTAGTTATTTCTAGGACCTCATTCATTCCTATATGTATGTTGCTGTCTTTATCTTAAAACTTTTAAAAAAAGCCCTTAATCCAAGTCAACTCTGAAGATATTAATTTAAAGGATTATAATATGTAGTAACAGGCTTTTAAACATTTAAAAATCTATTAGAAATAATATGATTTGATTTAAATCTTTTTTTTTTTTTTAGTAGTTGAATTAACTATTAAAATGAGTCCTTTTGGAGGGATGCATTGAGTAACTTAACATTTCAGTGAATCACTATATTTTCACTAAAAGATACTATCTGGTTTTAACTGGGTGGGTTATGAAGTTGTCATTTCCACAAAGTATGTTCTTTATGTGTTGAGATTTTTTTTTAAATTTTCACTACTTACATACTTAGTATTCTTTAGTATTTAGTGTTTATTTAGTGTAATGTTCATTTAAAATTGTTTATTTTCAGATTTCAAAAGTTAGTGCTCTTAAGAGGGCTTAATTATATTTCTGGAAGCAGTAGTCCAGTATAATGTAATAAAGTCTTTTAAAATAAAATTGACTTCCCTACTTATTTTTGGGTTTGTGGATGTATTTGTTTTTCTTAAATCTTCTATTGGTGATTCTGCCTGAAGATTGATAACATTATTTTAAAAATAAAAGCTGGAGCTATTAATGACTTTTGGTCCCTATTCAGGTTGGTAGTAAGTAATTACTAGATTTCTTTCCATTCTGTTTTAAGGTATTTTTATAGTTCCTAGCAACTAACTTCTTATAACTGTTAGTTTATATTTAATATAATGTTTCTTAATATATTGTTTTTAAAAGCAGTATTTTAGTTCATTGACTGTTTTTTTAAATTTACTTTGTATCTGGCTAACATTTTAATTTTGAAAATTACCAACCTTTGGGAAACTTCAGATATTTTACTGCTAAGACTTATTTTCCTGGGATTAGAATGGAATAATACAGTTTTCTCCACTCCTGATTCACTTTTATTTGCTAGATAGATAATTAATTGACTATATGTGAAAGCCAAATTTATGAAAATCATACTGAAGGAATTAGAGTTGAAGGGATGGAATTCCACCAATCTGAGGTTGCGTGGCAGGCAACAGACGGTTGGGCCAAATCTACAGAGCTCCCCGATTTCCACAGAAGACATTTGGGTGTATTGTGTAGTTGTGTAAGTAGTTCAGTTTCATAGTTAACTATTACTCTTCTGAATCTTAACAGTAGTGTTCTTTACATGATGCTATGGATTATTAGGGGAAGAGTTTAAAATGTAAACATAAAGATGCTGCATTAGGTGGTGTATACTTATGTGAGTAGGACTACTTCCAAGTGGTACTAGTAAAGATTTATCAAATGATGCTGCTATTGTGTTGCTATATTTTTAATAAAAAGAAAATCTTCAAATCTTGCCACTGTTGAGTAGTAATTTCATGTGTTTCTGAGACATTTACATATTTACGGCTTTTTAAAAAATAACTGAAAAGTGGTAGGAAGCTCTTCCAGGGTTTTGTCATGTATTTAAATTTGGATTTATAAGGGTCATGCTGGCCTAAAAGGTTCAGTGGGAAAGTGTTGACTACCTCCTCTTTAGTTTTCTAAGGGACTGGGTATATCATATTGTCATTACTTCTTCCATAGTGTTAGGTAGAATTTACTAATAAAGCCAACCTGAGTCTAGAATTTCCTTCTTAAATTACAAATCAATATTAAAAGTAGATTCAGGGTTATTCATGTTACTTACTCTTTCAAGTAAGCTTTGGTGTTGTGCATCTTCAAAGGAATTTGTTGTCAAATCCATTGGCAGAAATTGGAAGTTCCTTTGTATTTTAATAAAGTAGGCTACATGGTGATATTCTCTTTCAGTCCTAATGTTAACATGTCTTTTTTAAAATCGGTTTTATTGATTTAAAAGGAATCAAATCAGATTTTGTTTCCATCATCCTTTCCTCTGTTGTTTTTCTGCTTTTTATTTCACCAGTTTCGACTCTTTTTTACTTTTGCTTATTTCAGATATAGTTTGCTCTT